CCGCCACCGCCGTCCCCTCCCCCCGCACCCCCGCCCGGTCCGCACCTCGCGGTCCTTGAGGCCCAGGAGCAGCACCTCCTCCATCAGGGTGAGCCGCGTTTCCTTGGAGTCTCCCTTCTCGTCGTCTCCCGGCTCTTCCCGGCGGCCTTCGTCCTCCGGGCCGCCCCCGGCCCCCCTCTCCTTGTCGGCGGCGGCGCTGCGGGACGCCTCGGTGCGGCGCTGCACCAGGCCGGAGCTGCGCTGCGTGAGGGACGTCATGGCTGCGGGCGGCGGGAGGGCAGAGGCCGGGCCGGGGGTCTGGGAGTTTTGAGGGAGAAGGAGGAGGAGGAGGAGGAAGGACGGGGGCGGTGCTCGGCGACAACTCGGGAGCGCGGAGACGGAGTAGCGGGAGCCGCTCCCGCTCGGCCCTACCCGCACCGCGGCTGCGGCCGGCCGGGGGCGGTCATGGGGAGCGGGGCCGGGCCGCGGAGGCGGAGGCAGCGGGGGCCGAGCTGGCGGAGGCGGCTTCGGGTGCAATATGGCGGCGCGGGCTGATGTCAGCGGAGGATGTGGCAGCGGCGGGAGGGGGGGCGCCGGAAAAGGCCGCGGGCGGGAGGAGCCCCGAGGCGGCGGGCGGGGACGGGGCGGGCGGCGGCGGCGGCGGGAGGGGCGCTGCGCTGCGCTCCGCCCCGAGGGGCGCCGCCATCAGCGGGGCGGGGCGGCGGCGGAGCGGAGCGCGGCTGGAGCCCGCGGCGCGGGTTTGGCGGCCTTGGCGGCTTTGGCCGTAAGGAGCTGCGTGCAGCGGGCTTTTAAATAAAAGTTTCCTCGGTAGCGCCGCGAGATCCGTTCTGCGGAAATGCCTTCGCCGAACAGGAGCACCGCTGTTAATTCGGTCCTCCGTCACCGCGGCGGCGCTCTCCTCCCGCGCGGCCGCTGGGGCTGTTCGGGTGACTTCCATCTTGCTGCGACGCCGCAGCCGCTGTTTAAATACGTTCTTTTACCCCCTGACGGCGTTTTAGGCGTTAACCGACGGAAGGCTCGAATACCTTCCTGCTTATTCACGTCGTTTCTTCTGTCGTTATTTTTTTGCGGGCAGCCGCAAAGGACTCATCTTTGGTGGGTTTGTTTGTTTGTTTGTTTGCAGGGTTTTTTAAATGGCTTTTTAGAAGCAGTTGCTGACCGGCAACTTTCCAGCTTTTCCGTTTTGTGTTACAAAAGTGACCAAATGATGTAACTGGTGGGTTAATAAAGGCGTTAAAGTTTGTTGGTCAGTTACACGTCTGACATCCTGTGAAGTCATATTTGACAGAGTCGCTTTTCTGCCCTTAAGTGCTCAGATGCTTGCGTGAATTTAGCGGTGGAACTTCAAAGAAATGTATTTTTGTTATCAGTTTCAGTTCCAATTCCTTGTCGTTGAACTGAACTAATAAGCTCAGTGTGAATCAAATTATAGCTGCTTATAATTGAATTTTGATCCAGTCTTTTATTGTTGTTTGTTTGGTTTTTTTTTTTTTTTTATACCAGAGCACTGCCAATAGACAAAACCAAAGGAGGGCAAACAAGACACATTTCAGCATCTGATTCCACTGGCACTAGAGCCCTGAATAGTACCAAGAGCTACTGTTTCAGAGGGGGACAACATAGCTTGTTGGATCTTCACCTGGGAGATCAGTGTGCCATGTAACAACCTTCTCTGCAATTCATTTATCCGCACCGGAACGTATTTCAGAAGTATTAATGAGTCCAACATGGTTGTGTCAGGAGCTCAGGAGGCTGTTTCCCTAGCCCTTGGGTAATGTGTGCATCCCATCACATGGACAGCCACTTGGCACGTCCCTACTCTGACCCCAGAGGCACCTGGCCACAGAGCTAAAGGGCTACATTTTTTAATTGTTCTGTTAGGAAGATATAATGCAAAAGCAGGGGCTGTCATCTATAAATAGTTTCTCTTTGGCTTGCAGTAAACTCATAGCACATCCCTTTTTATTCCTAAGCCAATATCTGGCAGAAAGCTGATATCTTAACAATATCTTAACAGCTGCTGATGAGCTGAAATTATCCTAGCCAGGTGTAGGAGACTTCAAAAGCACTTGGATTTTCTGAACTGCTGCCAGCCCCTTGGGAAGCAGAAATAAAAGGGAAAATAGCAAAGGCATGAATCTTAGACTCGCTTTGTTGCACTGGTTGCAGTTCCCATGATTCATTTTGCAGTGGGAGTAGGGCTTATCTCTGATATCAGCAGAAAAGGCAATTAACAAACTGAATGCAAATGTCTTGGGATAGCAGGTAAAACAAAGAGTAACTTTATTTAACAAGCAGGAGGTCAACTGCTATTCATTCTTGACAAATGTATTCTAGCTTAAATGTCCCAAGCTTGGCATGTAGTCAGTCAGTACTGGAAGTTTTAAACCATGATATGCTCCAAAAAACTTCGGCCTTTCTGAGTAAATGTTGGTTCTACTGTTACAGCTTCATAGCAAGATATTGCTGGGCTGATTTTTCTTTTGAAGGACAATCAGATTAATAGCACATACACATTTTGAGATTAATATTAAGAATACAGAAGTTGTTTTCTAACAGAAACAGCAGCTAGAAAGCTGCTCACCCTAATATTGCTTCCCCATCAGTGGTTTTGCCAGTCGAGCTTGTTCACACTCCTATCCGTGTCTTCCATTCCCTTACAGTGAAGGTCTGCCTCTCCCACCCATTGCAGCTGGTGTCATGTGGAGATGCTGCTGGAATCCCTGAAAGGATCTGCTGTGACACACACAAATGGTGTTAACCTGTATCATTTCAGGAATCTGCTGATCAGGAAGCTGCACAAATTGGCACCGTATCATGACTGAAGGAGCTCTATACTCTCTTACAACATGGAAGCCAGTGGCCAGGAACAAAGGGACACAGGGATTTCCTAAGGCCAAACCATTCTTAAAACCATACTGTTTACAGATATGTGCTTAAGTAAATTCTGCAGTGAACTTTAATAATCAAAAGCAGTTTGAAGGAACAAAATATCTGGAGGACTGCTGATCTATGACAACAAGAGTTTGACCTGCGGTAGGAACAAAGGCACAGAATGACAACAGGAGAGGGAGCCAATGATTTTGACTTGCTATTGGGCAAGAGAAGTGAGCAGACCAACATGTGGCATTTTAGTTGGGAAGAAACTAGAATCAATGGCCAAATGGCTGTAAAAACCATGTTTAGAACACAGTGACTGCATGCTGTTCTGTAGTGTTTTCTCTCTTGTAATTTCAGCTGTACCTGTTTTACTTGTACTGTTGTCCTGGTACCAAATAAAACCATCACTAGCCATTGCAGACCAACTGGCATTTTCTTCTTGGTTTTATCAGTGAACTTCCTAACACTAGTAGCATAGCAGCAAATTTTGCTAAATAAAAAGCTTCAACTGTTACAGTTCTTTTTGTCCGTACAACAAACCCATGCTCGGGCAGCAATTGGCACTCAGTAGTCAGATATCATTTAAATTACCATTTCACAAAGCTGAAATTTGGCAATATATCTTTTCCAATAAGCTTCTCTTTAATTCTCTTCCTTGGCAGATTTAGGAATGATGTTGTCTCAAAAATATGTATTTGAATTATTCCGTATTTGACACAGATTGGATCGAGTTACGATGAACTCGCAAATTACATCCAGTGGCATTAATACCTAGCTCATATAGAATCTGATGTAGCCAGTAAGTCAGTAAAATGATTCCTTTTAGATTTGCAGGGCTTTGAATTAAAAATCTAGTGCTGCATTTAATGTTTTTAAAAACAAAACCGATAGTCTTTTTTCTTGCAGGCTGACTGACAGACATTTTAGGGAGACCAAAGGCAGACACAGAAAGGCATCAACTTTCCAAAAAGGTCTCCTTCGTTTCATGTATTTCCAGGTCTTCTCATTTTCTCCTGACCTGTGGAGTTCAGATGATTGCTAGTTCCTGAAATCTTTGCATTTTAATGGCATCTTCTCCCTGTGTGTGAGCAGTATTGCTCAGTAGCAAGAATCTGTACTTATTATTTTAATACTGCAATTATAGTACTGAAATAATGAAGACAAAGTATTGGTTAAAGTGCAGTTTGTGAGGAAGATGCTTTTTCATTTCTACACAGTGATTCAACCCAACCATTATCACTAGGAAAAATGTGTAGCTGTCTTATTTAGCAAGTTCAGTGAGAAAAATGGGGTGGAAATCTTGTGAAACCATCACCACAATGGTCATTGGGATTCTGGCAGAATTTAAAGCACTTAATCCAATGGCTTTTATATAAAATCAGTTTTGAAAAAGCTTTGTTTCCCTTTGCATGTAACAAATCAGTAACTATCTGTTCTCTCTAGGGTATGTAAATACTCATCAACTCATTGAAAAATACATAAAGCCAGATGGTGCACAGAAAAATGTTTCCATGGAGTTGTAATTTAAAAGCCTCTGTGCAGAGAGGTGAAGGAGAGGAACAGAGTCAGGTTGTTCCTGAGGGCTCAGCCGAGCATGTCTCACGGTCTGTTCCACACCTGCCTTGTGCAGGATGGTTTCATTCCTGAAAGCAGCCAGGCTGTGATCACAGCACACAGAGGGTTTTGAAGTAGCACCAGCGATAGTTCTTCCAGTAATACCATCTACCCAAAGCATGCAATAGGTGTTCACTGATGGAACACGCAGACATCTCTGGGTTATGCTTCTCCCTGACTCATTCAGGACTCAAAACTGTATGGAAGCACATCTGATTAGTTGGGTTTGTTACACTGACAGTTGTCTCTGAAAACACAGACAAAGTCTTGTGCTAGTCAAGCATTATGGAGCACTGTATCATACCTTCTTACTGTGAGTGTGCTTGATCTGCACTGGGGGGAGGAGTGCAGCAGCACAGCACGCCGCCAGGCACTGACAGCTTTTTCCATTTTGACCTGAATTTCAAGTTTCTCCATCGACTGTGAAGGAGAAGGCTGAGAAAATCACCTGGAAATGTTTTCCCACAGGGTTAACACGAGCCAAATGTAGACTGATTTTCTTTGGGTAGATCCTGCACTGGACTATGTGCAACACCATCTATCTTCAGTGTCATAAAATAACATTATCAGTGGATCATTTCTATGCAATGGCTTTTCAAAAGAGCTTCTCACCAGCTAACATTTTACCATCAATGCAAGCACTGATTAATATATTTGATGCTAAAAAGCTGCTGTCTGAACAAATCTCTTCATAGGGGATTTGCAAGAAATTTTTGAATGAAACTCTACAGACCACATCCTTAGCTTAAACTGAAGAAAGCGTTCAAAATGGTGGGACAGAGACAACTGTATTGTCCCGCTACCTGCATAATATTGATTGAAGAGCATTTGAGTACGAAACACAAGATGATCTCTGAGGCTAGCTTTATTTAAGCTAGGCTGTTGGAGAGCGTGCTGCTGTCCAGTTGAATAAATGCATTTCTATAACTCCTGACTGTGATGTTGCAGGCTTGTTAATGACCAGCAGATGCATGAGAAATTCTGCTGTGCACTGGGCACAAGACAACCTGCACATAAATAAGATGATGTATAATATTCAAGCATGAGTCTTTAGAGAGTGTGATAACAATGTCTCCATTTTTTTAATACTAGTATTTCTAGCAATCACCATGGATTCAAACAGCAGAAACTTGACTGAGTGATCAGGAGCCTGGGTGGCAAAGCTATTACGTAACATCTTGTACTTCCTGCTCATGGTTCTGCCTCTAGTGGATTTTTATATGTTTTTCCAACTGAGAACTAGATTGGGAAAAAAGAGAGAGGATTTGGGCCTTCGTTCTTGGAGACGAACAGAGCTGAAACAGCACCAGAAATACCTGATATATCTGGAAAAATGAGAGTGATGTTTGTTTTATTCTTAAGGATCCCATCCAGTTTTTAGGGACACCTAGAAGGCCTGTGTAAAACGTGCTTCCCTCGCTTGTTTAGTGAATGCTCCCATTTGAGTCTGTTGGCTGCCAAGCCTTAGGCTGGCTCTCATGCTCCCAGGGGCCACTGAAGGCAGGATCACACAGACCTTCAGGACTCCAGTGACTTCCATGGGGAGGAGAGAGAAAAAGAAATAAGCATCTAAATTATCGCCATTCACAATTTTCAATGAAGGTTAGAAACACAAATTCAGTGGAGAAACCCAGGTGATGGTTGGAAAAAGAGAGACATCCAGCAGTGTGAGGTAGTGGCCAGGGTCCTCTCAACAGCACCAATGCATCTACGTGGCTGTACAGGGACATGCTGCACAGCACATCAGTACTTTCACCTGCGCAGAGGTTTAGCTGAGATCCCATCTGGTTTGTAAGTCATCTTCGAAAGAAAATAAATTTATTTTTGCTCTTGCTGAGAGATGACATATGAGCTTTCCATATTTAACACAGAATATGTCAAACTGATGAGTCAGCCATCCCGGTCAAGGTGTCCTACTTCGGCATGTATGATCTTTTTTTACTAATTGTTTTCACTGATGTTTTCTTAGGCACTTGCTTAATTCTCTCTGCCAAAGGATAAAGTAATGATTTAACAGCTATTTACTACACAGTAAATCCTTCAGAGAGAAATTAAAACAACCTTTAAAAATCCCCCAAGACCAAAATTACTCTCACTGTTCATATTCTGCATCACACAGCAGCAAATGCAACCCTTGTGTTCCTGCAGAACAAACACACAAGAAGAATGCATTTAAGCTTTTACTGAATGCACTTGTGGCTGCCATCCAGCAAGGAAATGGCTCTCAGCTCACAGTGGGCAAGCAGTCCCAAAGTGCTGAAAGCACTCCCAATCCTGGATGCATGGTCCCACTCTGAAGACTGGCTCTAAAAGAGAACTTTAGGAGGTTCTCCCTTTTTTGCCTCAAATGGGCTCTGTTTTCCTAACTGCAAACTCAACGTGGAACAGGAGGACCGAGCTGGCACTTCGCCATTGGTCATAAATGTCCTGTGGCCAAAATAAAAGCACAGCTTGCATCTGTACAGAACATGATGTGCCCTCAGATATGGACATCATCTTTGAACAGGTGTTCAATGGTACACATAAATCTAGGGTTAATACAAAGTGCTAAAGCTTCTCTAGCATCCTGTTTTCTGACAGGAGCTGTATCTGAAGTGATACAGACACATTGCTCTTGGGTACGTGATTGTAGTTGAACCACACACCTCAGCAAATGCCTTTTACCAAGGTGTACTCTGAGCTCTTCTCCCTTCTTTGGAGTGCTGACAGTAGCAGGGACTTAGTTTTGACGCTAACATCAATAAATAGGGCATGGAAATGAGGGAGGACCACAGCTGTTGGAGTAAGAAGATACCATTTTTACCACTGTGGATTTCCAAGTACATTCTGAAAATATACTGTCACACACAAATCATGTTCAGTTTTGAAAATACATAGATAAAAACTTCAAAGAGGGCTTTTTTACTATGTCTCTTCAGCACATCTGACAAAAATTTTATATATGTATATATTCCTGATTATGCTCCATCTGCCAACATTCCTTTTGCAGGAAGAGATCTTTCTTGATCTGGGCAGCTGGCCAGCTTAGAGTCCTACAGGTTACTCCAGTTAGGAATAAAGCACCTTTCATACTGTTTGGCTTGTTTACAAAAATACACAGCCCTGCTTCTTTGAGCATGGCTTAAATCAAACAGCTGGAGACAGCTTCTTTATACATAGCTCCTTCAGCCAGAACCCTGACCTCAGAGCCCTTCTGAGGCTTCTCCCACCAGATCTGCAGGGAGCGATACATCCTGTGCTCTTCACCGCTATCACATTCACCTCAAAGTCTGACCTCACACACCAGAGCTGCCCATGTGCACTTATGCTGCAGTTGCCTACTTCAACACAGACATGTTCCCATAGCTCAGCACTGAGGATTTGGTGTTGACCGGGTAGAGATTACTTGCTGATTAAAGCAAAGCAAACCTCCCTACAGCTGGCCCAAGCAGACATCCAGGAGAGACAGGAAATCAGCCTCAGCGTGTGATTTAGGACGAGTGATAACAGACTTAACCTGCACCAAGAGAAGTTCAGGTTGGATATTAAGAAAACTTCCTTCTCCAAAGAAGTGGTGAGGCATTGGCAAGGCTGCCCAGGGAGCTGGTGGAGTCACCATCACCGGAGGTGTTCAAGAAATGTAGAGATGTGTCACTGGGTTAGTGGGAATGGTTGGGATGAGTCAGTGTTTGGACAAGATGATCTTAGATCTCTTTTCCAACCTTCATGATCCTGTGATTCTATGGTTTTATCTCAAAAAGATCCTGCTGCCAGTGTAGTTGTCTGTGTGGCACCTCAACAAGTCAAGCAAGTCAACAGCTACGCA